GTATAATTTAGTATTAATTACAAATACTGATTTGTTTTGTGATATATTTAATTAATTGTGTTTATGTGGCACTCAGGTTGTAATGTTTCAATATGTGCCAATTTCATTAAAATATCAGAATGTGTTGCCTGTGAGAACAAATACATGTCCTTCAATAACGATGGACTAATTTGAGTTACAGATTTGGTTTATTATAGCTCATAAGAACACAGTCCTGAATAACATAATTTGTGTCTTTTTCAGTCCAGTCTAAGTCCCTTTATAATGCATTGGTGATTTCTACAATGCTTTTTTGGACACTTAAAGATATTTCACACGGCATTATTATTTCACTCCATGGTGATAAGCTCCAGCTGAGGCAACCAGTGCCATCGGCCCCTCCGACCACCATCAACCATTCACACACCATTCTACGCAATGTGGGTGAAGTGTCTTGCCTGGACGCAACGTTTGGCACTTTACAGCCGCAGCCGCCCCACTCTGGTGTCCCGAGAGGTCTCCCATAACAGCATTAACCAAGCCCTGTCCAGCTTCCATCAGAGGTCTGAGAGGATCACATGCAGGTTATAGATAGATTTATTAAAAAATTCAAAAAGCAGATCATGTTACATGGTCAGATGTCTCAGACCAACAGATCAGGAGGATATTTCCGAAAGATGACTCTGATGGCCATGTGACTCCCCCTCATCCTCCTCCCCTCCTCCTCCTCCTTTCTCACATCCTTCTGTTCTTAGTGGGTGACGTCACTTTGAGCTGGGTCCACCTGTGTCCATTGAGCCATAACCAAAGCACCTCAAAAAGAAAAAAAATCATACTTTCGTCGTAGCAAATGATACTATTACATTTTACAACTAAACTCTTGAAGGTTTTCTTTTCATTTCTCAATCCAAGCTACTTAAGGCAGCTTCTCTTTTTGGATAAATCACTGGCTAATGCGATTCCAAGCTGTTCCAATTCAATTTTCTATCTCTAAAAGTGCCAGATTGAACGCAGGGTGTGATTTTTCTCAAAGATGACCTGGCTGATGACGCTCCCGATTGTGCTACGAGGCTTCCCCCCCTCCTGGACCTCGCAGCATCCATTAAGGCGAGGCGGAGGATAGCGCACGGGCTTCTGGGGGAGGGGCGTGCGCGGTAAAAGTGCATGTGCGCGGATTGATAGTACTCCCCAATATATATTGATGTAGACGTGGAGCTGCACTGTGAGAGCTGCACTGACACGGCCTGCCAACCTGCCTCCCCCTGGTACATAGAAATAATGTAAAATCTTTTACTGGCTACTTTTTGCATTATAAGTAAACCACAGTGGATTTTTGCCTATAAGCAACTATCATTTTAATGTGGATTTGGTGTAATTAGAATATGGAGATTAGTCCTCACTGTTTCCCCAACAAAGTCTTGAATATTCATCCTCATGAAATCACCATAATAATATATAGCTTAATTATATTCCATAGATAGGGTACTATAATGTGGGTTCAAACAATTACATTATTACTGATGTCCTCAGGCTCTCTGAATTTTTTTTTTTTTTCAAATGTGTCTATTTTATTTTTCCCATTACTTTCCTATGCGTGTGTCTGGAGATTAATATTGTTTCATCAAATGACGTGTTAAATGTGCCTTATGGCAACAGAAATGTAATTGCTTATCTCAGCAGAGTCAGGTAAATAGGACTTCCTATAGATTAAGAGATCCTTTATTCGTCCCACAGTGGGAACATTTCAGTGTTGCACATCACAAGATAAGTGAACAATAGCTTTACTAATATATAGTATTAGAAACAGTGTTGTTTGTCCAAACAGAAAGATTTGTGTAAAAGTCAAGTGTGAATAAATCAGACCAACATGCTTGTAATTATGTCTTCACATAATTACAAAACTGCGCTGAGAGTCACTGTTTGTCGCTTTGGGCTGAGAGTTGAGTGAGTCGTCCTCTATAATTTAAAGATGTGACAAAGGCCTGTGAAAAGTAGAACTTAACTCCTTTAGAACTAGGAACTATTGACATGGATTTTATTAATTCTTTTGTCTATTTTTTCCCGGTTTGAAAGTTTGGAGCTCCAACATGTATGCATTTGACCTAATATTTAATAGTTCAATCTCATTTTGTTAGTTACGCAGACACTCAACCCAGAAGCAGAGGGGTCTTCTGAATAGGGTCACGCTGGCGCGGTCTTCAGTACGCAGCTCCATGTCTGCCCGTTCACCTTCTCTCCGCCAGCAGCAAGTAGAGGAGCGGCCGCTGCTGAGAGAGAGAGGTATTCAGTCAGTCAGTCTGAGGCAGGAGAGGGGCGAGGTGTGGAGCGCCAGCCAGCGAGCCATGTTGGATAGGACCTCCACTACTGACCCTGCTCCTAGCGCCTCGGAGCCCAGCGGGTAGATGCGCACTCTCCAGGCTGACGCAGAGACGTGGGAGCCTGGGGGAAGGAGTCGGGCGGTGCCGCTGGAGCCGGAAGAGTTGGAACTAGTGACACGCGTGGTGGACACCTAGCATCGGTTTGGAAAAGGAGGGTGCTATAGACAAGCTAAAGGCGCACGGGGCGGGGGTGGCTCAATGGCTTCCCCGCTGCGTTTGCCGGTAACATTTCTTGCCTTACACCTGCTCATCATCACGCCATTGTTCGCGGGGAAGGATGTGAACGGAAGGAAACTAGTAAGAGGAGGTGACGCTGGAGGATGGAGCCGGCATCGTGAGGGAGGAGGATGCGAGAGGCTGCGCCCGAGCAGGTGCGCCTCTGAGGGGACACGCACAGAGGGATGCCCCGGGGAGGTAAACCACGAATGCAGTTCAAACAGAGGCGTTGCGTTAGCTTTTTCACATTTGGAGACACTTTCACTCACCCCAGACACAGTACAAAGGACGTTCAGCCGGCCACACCTCACCACGGGCTGGGTGCGCGCCTCTGAACCGTGCACGGCACCCGGAAGTCATGCGCGCCAAAGGGCTTGTGAGGTGAACAGGCCACCCCGAAAAAAAGAGCCCTCAAGCGGATACACCTGTTCACCTTTTGGCCTCTTCCCAAACGCATCCTCTTGTTGCTCCTTCCCTGGATTCTCCCCTCATCCTGCACCTTCACACGCTTCAAAATCGGATTACAAATGTCTTTCCGTAACCCCACTTCTAAGCTATGTTTCCTCTGTTTTATCCCCTTCAAAATGGGGTCCAGGACACGTGCAAGGCCAGGGAAAGGCTCTTAATTGTTCGTATTTTGGCACGCACAATGCTATAGATTTTTGCACCATGGCAGGGGGTGTTGATGGCTGTTTAAAGGGGGGCATCAGTAAAAAAGGGGGGCTAAATAGGGAGTTGTGTAGAAAGGGTGAGATTGGGTGTTGGAAAAAAGCTTGTGTTGCTAGAATTGTGGAAAGAAACAGGGGGAAAGGAACGGTACAGCCTGTCTATGGGGATTTAAATTTATCTAATTATCCGGAAAATGGTTTGGAAGCTGAGAACAAGCACAGCAATGAGGATGGAGAGGTGGCTAGTTGTTGCTTGGAGGGGACAGTATTGGGGGGTGGGTGTTTAGTAGAGTTTATGTTCCCCAGGGGAGGCATTGCATTGAGGGATATCCCCATCCAATTTAGCAAAGAGAAGCTTACTCTCAGCATTGCAAAAGGCATGAATAGCCAAAGTGAAAGTAATGTTTCGAGATCCAATTTTTATGCATGGGCCGAGACAACTCCACAGCAAAAAACAGACAGTGACTCAGAGCTTTTCCCGGCATCATCGCAGCTTGAGAGAAGTGTTAAGTCAGCTCGAGCACTGAGAATTTCCATTGGCAAAGGAATGAACAGAACAACTAAAGAGCATGGTAATAGTTCAGATCATTTTGGAAAGCAAACAAATCCTGATTACAATTTGTCAAGCCACAGCAACAGTAAAAATCATGGAAAACTGATAGACATTGACGAAATAGAGTTGAATACCATAAAATCTAATGTTCACTCAATATTTATGTTTAGCCAATTTAATAGCAATATTAATAATAACAATGAAAACATGAACATCTACACAATAGACAATAGCATTAATCTTGGAACAGAGAAGCAAGCAGTGCCACTGGATTCAATCAAGTTGAATCAGCAGATTGTCAAACAAAATAGTCAGAATTTCAGATTAGAAATAAAATCGATTCAAAGCATTTCTTTATGCAGCCAGTATAATGCAAACACTAATAATAACAACGACAAAAATGATCAATTAAAGCCTGAAAAGCAAGCAGTGCCGGTGGAAGGTGTGAGACGGGGAAAGCAGCAGATGGGAGCTACAAAGTGGAGGGAGGGACAGTGCACTGAGGGGTCCGCGGTTGGTGCTGAGGCTGCCGGGGTGGAGAAATTACAGGTGGGGGAGGGCTGCAAGCAAAAAGCGGAAAGACGAATAACAAAGGCAGAGCGAGTGAGGGGAGCGAGAGGAGGTGCGGGTCGGGATAGAGGTGACTTTACTGGCGCTGGGAGGGTGGAAGTGTCTGGGGAGCCAGAGCAGAGGCATGGTTCAAGGGGAGAGCGTAGTGTAGAAAGGTTGACATTAGAATCACGTAATGGAGATTCTAATGACAGGGCTAGGGTACGTCGTGCTGCGAACAAACACCCACATTTTCCGCAATATAACTACCAAGTCCAAGTCGCCGAAAACCAACCATCTGGGACTTCAGTGATGGTTATGACCGCGTCTGATCCGGATCCGGGAGAAGCAGGAAAAGTTTCCTATAGCATGGCGCCTTTAATGAATAGCCGCTCATCTGACTACTTTAACATCCATGCAGAAACAGGACTAATAACCACAACACAGGTTTTAGACCGAGAACATATGGATTCACATTATTTTCGAATCACAGCGACTGATTTTGGGATTCCAAGGCTCTCTGGGACTACTATGGTTGCTATAACTGTAGCTGACCGCAACGACCACTCTCCGATGTTTGAGCAAAACGAATACAGGGAAACAATACGAGAGAATGTAGAGGAGGGGTATCCAATTTTACAATTAAGAGCAACAGATATGGACTCGCCAGCTAACGCCAACATACGCTACCGTTTTGTCGGCGAGTCTGCAGCAATGGCTCGTGGTGCCTTTGAAATCGACCCACGTTCTGGACTTATTACAACACGAGGTTCAGTGGACAGAGAAACAAGCGAACATTATACCCTTGAAGTCGAAGCTAGCGATCAAGGAAAGGAACCCAGCCCACGCTTGTCTACTGTCAAAGTTTATATTTCTGTGTTGGATGAAAATGACAATGTGCCTCAATTTAGTGAAAAGCGCTATGTGGTTGCGGTAAAAGAAGACGTCCGGCCACATTCTGAGATCCTCAAAGTCAGTGCCACAGATCGAGACAAAGACAGCAATGCGGCTGTTCACTATAACATAATTAGCGGGAATAGCCGTGGACAGTTTTCAATAGATAGCGTGACGGGTGAAATCCAAGTCGTGGCTCCTTTGGATTATGAATCTGAAAGAGAATACACTTTGAGAGTCCGTGCGCAAGACAACGGGCGCCCCCCACTTTCAAACAATACAGGAATAGTCAGCGTACAAGTCACTGATGTTAACGATAATCCACCCATATTTGTGTCAACTCCATTCCAGGCATCTGTGCTGGAGAGTTCCCCAATAGGAAGTTCAATTCTTCATATCCAAGCCATTGATACAGATTCTGGAGATAATGCTAGGCTAGAATACAGGCTAACAGGAACCAGCACGGACACACCTTTCGTCATCAACTCAGCGACAGGTTGGGTAACTGTCAGAAAGAATCTTGATCGGGAATCCGTTGAGCATTATTTCTTTGGAGTCGAAGCAAGAGACTATGGAATGCCGCCTCTATCAGCCACAGCAAGCGTTACTATTACTGTAATGGACGTGAATGATAATAGACCTGAATTTTTGCAAAAAGAATACTATTCACGATTGAATGAAGATGCCGTGGTAGGAACAAGTGTTGTGACAGTAACAGCTGTAGATCGTGATGTAAATAGTGCAGTTACATACCAAATCACCGGTGGTAACACAAGAAACCGCTTTGCTATCAGCACAGCTGGTGGTGGCGGAATGCTTACTTTGGCTTTGCCTTTGGACTACAAACAAGAAAGACGTTATGTTTTGACTGTAACTGCTTCGGATCGGACTTTACATGACACTTGCCAAGTTCATGTCAACATTACAGATGCCAACACTCATCGACCTGTTTTCCAAAGCGCGCATTATTCCATTAGCGTGAATGAAGACCGGCCACCAGGTAGCACTGTTGTTGTCATTAGTGCTACAGACGACGATGTAGGCGAAAACGCAAGGATTACTTATTACCTAGATGACAACATTCCTCAATTTCGAATAGACCCTGGCACAGGTGCTATCACACTTCAAGCAGAACTAGATTATGAAGACCAAATGACTTATACTTTGGCTATTACAGCTAAAGACAACGGAATTCCACAAAAATCGGACACTACTTACGTAGAAGTCAATGTCAATGACGTTAACGATAATGCCCCTCAATTCTTAAGCCCCAGATATCAAGGAACAGTTACTGAGGATGCCCCTCCTTTTACAAGCGTTCTGCAGATTTCCGCAACGGATCGGGATGCACATGCTAATGGTAGGGTCCAATACACCTTTCAAAACGGAGAAGACGGAGATGGCGACTTTACAATCGAGCCTACGTCTGGAATTGTCCGAACTGTGCGTCGATTAGACAGGGAAAGTGTTCCCTTTTATGAACTCACTGCATATGCTGTAGACCGTGGGGTTCCTCCTCAGCGCACGCCTGTTCACATCCAAGTAACGGTCCTGGATGTCAATGACAATGCCCCTGTCTTTCCTGCAGATGATTTTGAGGTTCTGGTGAAGGAAAATAGTGCTGTTGGGTCCGTTGTTGCACAAATAACTGCCTCGGACCCAGATGAGGGTGCAAACGCTCAGATTATGTACCAAATTGTGGAAGGCAACATCCCAGAAATTTTTCAAATGGATATTTTTTCAGGAGAACTAACCTCTCTCATTGATTTGGATTATGAGACCAAAAATGAATACGTCATCGTTGTCCAAGCCACCTCTGCCCCTCTAGTGAGCAGAGCCACAATACGCATCAAACTGGTCGACCAAAACGACAACTACCCAACTTTGCAAAACTTTCAGATCATCTTCAATAACTTTGTCTCAAATCGTTCAAATAGTTTTCCAAGCGGAGTAATCGGGAGAGTTCCAGCCCATGATCCTGATGTTTCGGACAGGCTTTACTTTACCATCGACACAGGGAACGAGTTGCATCTGCTGCTGCTGAACCACACGAGTGGAGAGATCCGATTGAGCCGGAAACTGGACAACAATCGAGCGCTTGTGGCTCCGATGATGATCACAGTGACAGGTAAGAGCTGTGGTGAGAGCAATGGTTGTGTGATGACACATGGATGTGATGACAAATGGTGGTGCCGGGAGGATATGTTCAAGTGTGACAAATGCAAGGATGTAACTTCAGTGAAGAGGAAAAACATCTGAGTGTGTGCGTGTGTGTGTGTGTGTGTGCGTGTGTGTGTGGCTGCACACAGAAATTGTGTTGGTAGTTTTGTTTTAGGTACATTTTCAGAAGTCTATATTACATATCAGTGATATTAGTTTTACAATGTGCTTTTATAGTATTCTCATATCTCTCAACTCAATTGTTTTACAAAACAAGAAAGGGAACAATGCAATTATAAAAAAAGTAAAAGCATATCAAAACCCAGCACATTCTTTCATTTAAAATGATACATTATAAATGAAAACCTGTTTCAGGCTTAATGAAAGTAGACATAATGAACATTCTAAAGTTAGAAGCCTATTTCACATTTTCAGACATTTTCATTTTCAGTCACTCGTCTATATTTTAGGTGCAAAAATCCTGTTTAGTGCTGACTATGTACATCAGCAGGAGGCCAGCCCTGTGCTCCACAAAGTCTGAGTAGGTTCATATAGCATGAACATGATGTACTTTGGTAAGAAGTCTTACTTTGTCAATTTTATTATGTGCATCATATGTAATATGGACACATTTAGTCTAGTTCTTATATTATTCTATTACAGAATTATTATTTAAAACAACATTTAATTTCTTATTTTCTTGCAAATGTTTCTTTATTATTAACCTTGGTTGCTCACAGTACGTATCTTTACAATTTGCTTGTGATGAGAGTATCCATTACCTGTGTGTGTGACTGGTGCAAATTGAGTTATTTCAGACATTTCACTTGTCACTAACTGCAGGTAATTTGTGGCAAAATGAGAGCAGTGTTACTTCAGGTGTTAATTTCCCACATTTGTAGAGCTTCAAAGTGCCTGCCTACCAGTAGTTAAACAATAAATAAATAAATAATAGTATTTGGAGCTGTATTGTGTTGTGAAATATCCACAAGCTGCATGTTTTGAGCACAAAATGATGAACGATTTTTTCTGAATATTGAATTTTAAATGCGCGTTTTAAGAAAAAACATGAAATAAATCAAAAAGCAGCAATCCATTGGTTTAAAGCATTAAAAACTCCCCATGGCAGCACACCCTTCACAGATGTGGTATTTACAGTATATTTAACTTAATCCCAATCTTATGCACAGTATTTTACAATTTTGCCCAAAAAGTATTTCTGAATAGTTTAGTTTTTAGACCCATATACAGTACTCCACTGCTCTCAAAAAGCCAACAAAACTTCTTTCTTGTCCTGTATCCATGCAGTTTGTAATTGGTTGTACTTGTTTACACTGTGTTTCCAATAGGGAGGTTTATGATCAAAGCTAACGTCGACAGAATCAGGATTTCGAACGTGGTTTTGTTTCTTTGAAGGCTTTGAGTGCTGCTTGTGCTCAGTGACTGGGTTTAATGGAGGCGGCTTGGGAGAGGATGACCCGGTGGCCCATTTATCTGCTTTGTGCTCACAACACAGGAGAATATATGCACTTCGGAGTCACTTAAAAGACCGCTGGGCTTTTGTCTGGTTCGAGACACGGTGTTCAAACAGTCACAGGCTGGTCGGGTTAATGCAGTTGTTGGCCAATGTCAATCAAGTCATTGAAATTATATATAACTTTTGCTTTCAAAATACGCTTTACTGGTCCGGCAGCTAACACAACAAACTGATCTATCTTCTTTTTGTTGTATTTGTATACTTTTTCAGGCCATATGATAGACTTTTGCACTGTTCTTGTCTTCTTTGCATAATTTGTTTTCTTGGTTCTGTTGAAACTTTTGCACTTCAGGCTGTCTCTGGTGACTTACTTGTAGTATATTTGTGACCATACACATATTTATTCCATCTAAATAGAAAATAGAACACATATGAAACACAATCAAACCACTAAAATGTTATATGTCTCAGATCAAGATATTATAGGGAAGAGGTCATGATTATGAGTGTTGCAGAATTCCAAGACAGCAGAATTCCGAAACAAAGCAAAGTATATATTATAATACATGCATGCATTTTTTATACAGCTAAACATAACTCTTTTGGGGCTCCTTTGATCCTTCATCTAATGATTTTGTGAAATGCCTTGACAAAGGGTTGAATCTGCTGTTTTTATCCTCTCTCTTTTTGGATCAGTTGAGTTCCTTTGTGTCTCCGGCTGAGGTCTGGTTATGGCAGGAGAATATGACAGTAATAAGATTATCATAAACACATGGATCCTGGAGCTCCCACTGCTCTGGTTTTATCTACATATATTTGCAACACATTTATCTTTCTGTTCTTTACCATTGGAAACTATGTGTTTCAATTTGTGTTTTATTCAAGATATAAGATTTTTTCCATCCATATTTATATCAAACATTTTTCATTTACTTTTTAGCCTGTTCACTGGTTAAACGGTAATATTTTGACAGCATGAATACACCACGCCAGAAGGAAGGGGGATTGGTTGGTCCACTTCTCTTCATTGACTGTGCAACATTGCTGCATATTGGCAGGAACTGGACACACTGTTTAATGCAGCGGTCCAAAGCATCTGTAACATGCTCAGTGAATGACATTTCCAGTGAGTGTGCATTCATGTACATATCATTCAATTTTGACTTGATTGTGATGAATTATGCAAACTGTTTCTTTATAAAAAATAGTTTTGGAATAGTTTACTACCAGGAAAATACACAAGGCACACGATGTCTGTGCATGAAGACCAGCAGTGACACCATATAGAGATGTAACAACACTTTTTTGATGAATGTAAACATAGCACACCTTAAGTTATTTTTGTCCCCATATTCGTCCCTCTCTGCTGTCCCATATAATCCTCCACACCCGCTACGTTGAGTTCTAGTCGCCCAGATATAGGCCTGTCGCGATAGTCAATAAATCAATTAATCGCACGATAAATAAAATTTGCTCAATAACTTTTCTGGCCGCGATAAATCCATTTGCATGCTTGTTTGTTTCCCCCGTCTCTCTCGGGTCAGAGAGCCGCAAAATGGTCACGGGAACATTAGCGGTCTAGCAAGCAGACGGAAATTACTCAAAAATACAAAATACAGCCAAAACAGGACCTAAACCAGGACTTAACCAGGATTGACAATGGGGGACACAGTAGTTGTGAACATATGCCGGCAGCTGAGTTCTCATTCAGTCTTGATTAGTGACTATACTAGCGCAGCTAGCGTTAGCGTGTTCGCCGATGCAGAAGTACCGTACCATACCAATAAAATAAACTTATGGCGCACCTCCGTGAACACATACTGCTGTTATATAAAGTCTCTAGAAGGTCTCTGAACACAGAGATGCTGCAGACTTGCATTCTTGGAGTAGAACTTTACACAAAAAACCCGCTAGCTTAGCTGTTAGCATCAAAGCCCGCCCCGCTACTTCCGGTGGGCGCTACCGCAGCAGGACTTCTGTACGCCCCATTGGTGAACCCACATGTCAGTCACTTGTCATTTGCCTGGTGTGTGGGGAGGTGGGACTACTCCTGAGAGATCCTGTCTTAAACCACACAAAGTCAACATGTTGGTATTTCTTTCTCGTAATCTGCCATAAAGTCTGAGAAATTATTGACATTTGAGGCATCTGTTTCATATTTTCTTTACAAAGGTCCTGGCAGTTTTATTCCTGGTCATTTTTTGTTAAGAGACTGAGTATTTTATTTATTGTTTTTGGTTGTTTGTAAATTTATTGTGTTCTAGCGTTAAATATTCGTTAAAAATAAAAGTTTATTTCTCTTTGAAAAGGTGTACCTGCATGATCATTGTAATCGATGCAAATGATCTCAGAACGACAATATAATCGCTTATCGCAATAATTTCTGAGACAATTAATCGTCCAGCAAAATTTGTTATCGTGACAGGCCTACCCAGATATCGCTCCTCGCTGACAGTTTGTTGTGTTAGAACTCTCTCGTGTGGCTCTGGGTATCGCTGTGAGACCAGACTTGAATTATATCGGAGAAACCAGAGCTCTCTCGGCACTCTGCTCCTCCTCTTTGTCTTACTGGCTCATTTACATTGATTTTACAGACGTTTGAAAAGATTAACTGCTGCTTGTGTTGTGCCAGATTCACTGCACAACATGGGGCCAAACTGGCTTTGAACTGAAATTTATTCGAGGGATTAATCAGCCTTTCTTCCTCCGCTACATTTCCTTTGAGGCTTCCTTTTCCTAATTTTGACTTTTTAATGGTTAATTTTTCAGTGATCTAAAGTGTCTATTTAGACATTTAGTGATTGTAAGTGATTCTTGCCCTTTCAGTCATTACCAAATGACCATAGATTAGGGTAGGAATGCAGTCTGGTGGATACAGTAATACAGTGATTCCACATTTAGCTTACCTGATCCTTAATAAACCACACACACATTTTTTACCGTTTTTATTGTAATTTACATATTATTGTTTTTGGCAAACTACCATGTGTGTTACCACTTACATATTATTTTTCATTAGTTAGTCGTTTTTTGGTCTACAGTTGTGTTGAATTTTGTTCCATGTGTGAATGAGGCCAGAGGGACAGGATAAACCCGCTGGCACTGCGTGAAGGTCACTTTGAGCTGCTCTGGTTTCACTGGTTTCTCTGGTCTAGTATTACACGTTCAGAAAAGGAGATGAAAAATACTAAAAACCTTTTTTAGCCGCATTGATGAATAATGTTGAATTTGATACTGAATGATTTAATAGTGGGTATTGACCCTAAAAAATTTATATTTTGCTTACCCTTTTTTGGGGGGATGTATTTTTTGCATCCTTTATCTAGATGACTTTCCTCCAGAGGATCAATAAAGTTGATTGATTGGTTAATTGATTCAGCCTTAACAGAGATGCCCTGACTTCCCTGTCCAGACAAAGCTCATCCGGGGGAATACCGAGGCCTTCCTGGTCTAGATAAGACCTGGTTTCTCCTTCCCCAGGCCTTCTCCAG